TAATTACTTCAATTTATATACAAATTTTATGTACTTTTACTGATAACAGTGATAACTAATTATTTGTATTTATATTTATGTTCCCTTTGAACTCTAACATAACTCGCACACAGATTCCAGCCGCTCAGCAAAATAATGCATTTGCACGCGAAAAGATAAATAATTAAATTTTTGTTTAAAACAGGCAGAAATAGTAGTAGAACAGTTAATATATTAATACATTTTGTTGGGGAAATAACCACTTTAGGATTTTAAAGAACAGTTACATAAATTAGCCAAAATTAACAATTTTGATGATAATTAATCCACCCTGATTTCGACATAAACTGCATTCACATTAGAGTTATCACAAGGTTTTACGTTTAAACTCGAAAGCTTCATTCAATTTATGGAATTCATATAGTAACAATTTGTTGATTAGTTTAAATCCTTTTAAATTAATAAAATTATTTAAAATTTTCTCAAACGAATTGGTCGATTGGAATGGTTGTCTGAAATTTAGATTTTAAAAACCCAAGAGTCGCCGGTCAAGTGTTTATGCGTTGAAAATTACGCCCAAACCAAGTCTATTCGAAGAATATCAAATTTCACATTCGCACGTGTGGGTCATAAAGAATTTTAGCGAAATTATCACATTCTTGTTTAAACAAAGTCAGATCACAAAGCCATTATTTTAGAAAGAAGCGCAGAATTTTTCTGAACATTTTGATATAAAATTTAACCCTAATTTAAGCTGCGGCAATCGTAATTTTGATGTATAAATTATTTATTTAATTCAATAATTGTAAGCAAATCTGGCACGGTACGATTGCTGGCCATTTACTAACGTAGACATTAGAAGGAAAGTAGGTGGAAATTTCCTAAGGAAATACGTGGAAATTGCGAAAATGTTAAAATAGTACCGCTGTAGTACTGGGGGCGACATCTAACAGGGGGTAGTACGACAAAAATTACAGTTTTCTTAGGGCTTTCTTCCCTTTTACTTTCCGTAAAATTTAAACAAACAAAATTTGTTGTTGTTTTGCTAAACCACATTAAGTCCAATGAGCGTCAGGAAAAACCATAACAACCAATTTTGGAGTTTAATTTCTCTTTCAGGCAAATTGGTGTTGATTCGATATCGTTACTGTATTGTATTTTATTATCATAAGGGCTTAACAAATTGTATGTTTAATAATTTCGATATCACGAATCAAGAAAATTTTATAAATTTAAACAATTACGATTTAAATTAACTTTCGTTGATTTTAGAGCTTCCAGTTACGCTAGTGAATTAAATAAATTAATTTAGTGCTAGAAATAGTGAAAGAAATAGAGTAAATAATTTTGTTATAATTGTTCGCTTTAGTGATAGTTATTAATAAGTGTTGTTAAACCAAACTACAAAGTGCTAGTTTAACTTCGGATATCGGCGAGCCATCAGGAGGATTAAACTTTCTAGGTAGGCCTCGAAAGGGTTATATATTATTTTAATTAATTAATTTATGCAATAATTTCATTTAAGTTTCTTCAAGTAATTTAATCAATTACATTAACGTGATCTATCATTTACCGTGACCACAAATTTATTAAACCATTTTAAGTTCAAAAACTTTAAAATATAAATTTGATATTTTTTATTTTCTTTCTTTGATCTTGGAAATAAATAGTTAATACTTCCTAAAATCAAAAACAAATAATTTAATTTCTAGTATTTATTTAATTTCAATTTATTTATTTATTTTTTTGATTTGAGTGTAATCCTCAACCCTAAACCATTAAAACTTAACACATCAATCATTAACCTAAATCAAAGGGTTTCCAGCAATTTCTTCGTCTCAGATCAATCTAAAATTTCTTCATACAAAATTTGAAGGTAGAATAATTTGTTGAATATTAAATATAGGGTAGAGTAGGACAAATTTCTCTCTCGCGTCGTGCTAGGCGATGAAAGCAAAAGTATTTGTCTTTTGCGCAATTGCACCTGAAATTATAGACTGGTTTGTCGGCCATCTCCATGGGAAGGGTCGTGGTTCCCGGGGATCGTAGTTCTGAACAACTCTTTGTCAAAGCTCGTGGACGAAACATTTGTGGGAGAAATGACTTCAACGTTCATTCAGTTATGTTGCAAGGACTTGTATATCCGGGTTTTGTTCGGAAATTAGTATAGGTATTTAGGTACCTGACTTTTACCTGAGACGGTATTTCGGCACTAGGACGTAATAGTAAAAAAGCGATGCACTTATAAAGGCCGCGAGCATGTTATATTCCGACTCTGGTACAAGTGTAACTTAATAAACGCGATTAAATTCTTTCCTCGATAATATAGGTTCGGACAATATTAACTGAAGTATAGGTTAGATTTGTAATACGTAAATAGGGCTCCAATCATCAATCAGCTGTTTAAATTCATTAATTTTAAACCCCAATGAAACTGTGGTTACGTGTTTTACAAACTAAATTAAATATGAATGAACAATAATTTTAACACATGGCAAAATTGGATCAAACTTTCACAACTCTTTCTTTCTGTAATAAATGCTTCGACATATTTGTAAATAAATTACTTTTGTGGGAATTTGACTTTTAATTGCTTCTCCCGTGCGTTTTGACACTACTTTGAATCCGAATTTGTGTTACGACACAGAGATCTTTGAGAATAAACACAACGTAGGTAAGTGAAAATAACTATAAAATTTTCTAGACGAGCCAGATAAACTGAAATCAAAATAAAGGGGTAAAAGACGAATTCAAAATTAAATCTTCATCAAATTGCAACAATATCACAATCACGGTCTCACTACAATACTCTTAAGAAAAACTATCATCGTTATAATATTGCTCCCGTCCACTAGTCACACACGTGCCAATACTTCACTTTCTGCGTCCATATCAAGGGCAATGCTTTTTTTTTATCGTGGCCACTTTGCTTTCTATTGGGTTGTTTCCCTTAAGAATGGCTTTCTTATACTCGGGACACCGCTGGTTAATTATTCGCAGCAATGCTCCTTCTTCTTTCGTATTTCTCGACCTAATTATAGTCGGGGCTGAATCGTTTGAGATGGAGAACGGACTTCTTGCTACCATCGTAACTTTCTCATAGTGTTTCTCACCCCACTTCCTCTTTGCTAGATCTTTAAGGTCATCAAAGTTTCTTTCTTCTCCTATAATTAAAGCTTCATTTGTTTCTATCTCGGGCTCTGCGATTTCCACTGGGACCATCGCGTCTGCTGTTTCATTTGGCGTTTGTGTTTCAGCGTCTGTTTTCATGACAGACGAGTTAGCACTATCATTCTCCGTTGGTGTTACGGCATCTGTCTTTTCTATAGAGTGTAACAGTTTTATTTCGTTAAACTCTGTGACATACATCGTATAATAAACCAAATTTCATTTTTGCTGGTACGGGAGGCGCTTTGGAGTCCCGTAAATGCTTGGGCACTTAAACATCGTTGACGTAACATCTCCGTTCAACGAAAACAGACCAAAATATTAAACTTTGCTGTACCTGAACGATTTACGTTACCTGTTCCTGGTATTTAGTCTATAGTTTACTTCAATTTTCTCTTTTATTGCTAGCCCCAATTTTGGAGGGAGTTGGATCAGGCTTGTTTCTTCTCTGTTTTCCGAGTTAGTTGTGTTCTCTGGCTGTGAAGGGGCTAAAAGGAATGGGTAGCCCCGGAGCATTTCATACCGTCCCTCCGGAGAAGTCCGGGCATCTTCTCCGGGTAATTTTAGTGCTCATGTTCCTCTTGTGTTGTCGTACCGAGTTGTAGGGCGCCTCGGTACGGTTAAAGGCCCTCTTGTCCCTTTATGTGTTGTGCAAAATGTCTTAAGAGCACAAACCCTTTAACTTCCCCCTTCCTTTAATTAGAAAATTGTTCTTACTTACCTCCCTATTACCTAACTATCGGCTCAATATCGGTCTTTTCGCACAAAGCCACAATTTCAAAATGTAAACAAACTTAACCTCTTCACCTGTTGTAAAACGTCAATTTCGCATGCGGCTTCCAACAACTAAATGCGCGCTCTCAGAAGATCTTTGCGATGAATTCAAAATTTTTCATTTTCTTTTACATAGGCGGATATTGACCACGGTTCGCGCCACGAAGACGGGCAGGGACAAATCGTCTGACTTTCTAACAACCTTCCTTTTCTGCTGCGGTTCTCGTGGAGTACAGATGCTCCTGTGCTAATTAACGTGGAAATTCTACCTTATCTAATGTCGTATCTTTCCGGATCTCGGAACTACTGTCTTGTAAATTTCCGCATTGTAACGAACTTATAAGAACCGCATCACTTTCTTTCGTCGTCGCTCACAGGCTGGGGCCGAAATTGTCGATTGCGTTTCCAAATTCGTAACCATCGGTGAATCCAATAAGTCAACCCCTTTCTACAGCAAGTGGCTGATCCCGACTTGAAACCGTCAAGCCGTTACCCCAAAAGGGAGCACCTGGACCACGTGACCTCGCCTGATCGACGATAAGTACTCTCTTGTATCTCAAATACCGTTTTTTTTGACTCGGACGTTGCGCCCGTCGAGATTTATTAGTACCAACTTCTTCCCTTCATTTTTCGACAGTCTTATAAAAAAAAAATGAACTTCAATTATTTCTAATTCTTTCCAAAATTTATATAACCTTTTTTTGTTAATCAATTTATTATTAATTCTTTAATTTTATTGTTGTAATTTAAACTCATAAATTTAAGTTATATGTGAACATATCACAGCTGTGAAATGGCCTTTTAAATTGAATTCGTTTTTATTTTTTTACTATCGAATTCAGTTTAATTTAATTATGTTTTTTACAACCTGAATCGGATATTTATTTTCACCTTACAGTAATTTATTTATTTTTTATATTAAATTCTTCGTTTCTCTTCAAAGCCTTTCTTTTTTTATTCAGCATTCAGTAGCTAGCTGACAAAAAAAGCTACTTGGCGCCCATTGATAAACCCTACGACTCCGGCTCTCCTCCATCCTCTGAGCCCGGGGACGGTGTAAATCAATTTTACGTGACAAAAGTCAGCAGTCATCCTTCAACTTTTTCAAGTTTACCATAGCATATCGCAGATTTTTCATCTTATGCTTGATTTCCCTGCGTGTATTTGGAGTGTCCTCCACTAACACTTGCATTTCCTCCACTTGCCTAATTGCCTGGGCCATGGCTTTCTTAAAGGCCTCTGCCTTTTTAGTCTTTTCCTCCTGTTTGGCATTTCTTTGCTTTTTGGTTTTTGCCCTTTCGGACAAGAAAAGTGCCTCCTGTTTCCTTTCTAGTGTGGAGATTGACCTAGCTACCAAGATTTGCATTTCTGTGGTCTCTGTCTCAGGCGTTTGCTGCCTTTTCCTTTTCGACTGCGATTGTCCGGGCGGTGTCTCTCAGCTTTCGCAGACAGGCGCTCTTTGGGTTTGACTTTGGTCTTCTCCCCATGTAAATGCCCTTTGCCTTGTCTGAGGCGGGGTTCTCATAACCCTAGTCGACTTACTAAATACGGAACGTTCCTCCATATCCTCAATTGGTATTATGGGGGTACCTTGTTTTTCTAATCCTTGTCGTTCTGACTCCTCAGTCTTCGCGACAGTATCCTTTTTAGTTATTTCAGGATCCATACATTTCGATTTAATGGGCGAAATACAACGGGTCCGCCCCGGACTAACGCCCATTCCGGGGTATCCAAAATTCGTTCCTTTTCGCTAGGGGGTGGGGTTCTCCCCCACCCACGTCCGTCGCAGCCGACGCACGCTGCCCATGGGCGCTAGAAAGGGTAACCGACCACTGAGCTTTGGGATTTTTTAGAGAGGTTTTCTTCCTCGCGGGCCGGCCGGCCAAGGCAAGCCCCCCGGTCAGGATTTCTGGTGCACGTCCCCCGCTGCGCTCTCACGGGGTTGCTGCGCACACAGGTCCTGGTTACGGTATTAATCCTCTCAATAGCGCTAGAGAAAGGTGGCTAGGTCTTCTCCGATCATGCCCCCGCTCGCCTGTGGCCCGGCGGCCCCAGTCCAGCCATGTCTCTTGCCTTCAGGAGACCCTTTTTTCTCAGCAGCACCTGTAACATTCACCGCAAATTAGGTTATGTTACCTATTCTGTTTTCTCGGCCGGTGTACAACTACACCTGCCTACCTACCTGACCTGAGCCGACAGTTAGCTTCGTCACTCCCCTCAGGGTTTCCGGGTTTTATCCCGTCACCCAAGGATCACTGCAACTACTGAACCCTCCCGCCACGATAAGGCCTCGGCTCTTGGGGAGGGACCTGACCTGACCTGACCTGACCTGACCTTTTTTTTTGCACTTTGTGTAGGAGGAAAAATCTGCTTGCAGACTTGTGTGGGGTTTTCCAAACCTCGGTCTTCAGGTCTGACCCACTAAAAAACCTCCTCCGGGCTATGTTTTACGCCCCGATGCCGCCGGTAGAGTTGAGGAAGAAAGTGCTTCTTACCCCTTATTTAGAACCAACTGGGAAACCGCCTCGTGGCATTACTTCCATCTGGTTTAGGATTTATAGGTATTTGGTTGCTTCTATGTTTTAACTCCTTCTTTTTCCCTTTTGCTCTCCTCATTCTCCTTGATTTTCATTACATTCCTTGCAAATGTCAATGTGTTTGTCCAGTTTTCTTTGTTCGCTGTAGCTAACGGAATTAGTTGTTTCATCGTTACCTTTGAAAACAGTTGCGACTCCAACTCCCTCCTCTCCGACTCGTACCGCCTACAATCGAACAGAGTGTGTGCGGCGTCGTCGTCCACTCCGTCACAGAACCAGCAGTTTTTTGTATTTTCTTTTCCTATTCTGTTGAGATAATCCGAGAAACATCCATGATTGGTTAATAATTGGTTCATATAAAAATCTGGAACGCATCGGGCCTGTAGCCACGGCCGAATCTGGGGGATTAATTTCCGTGTAAAGGATTTCGAGCTATCCCATCTCTTTTGCCAAATCTGAATTGTTTTTTCCCTTTCCTCACTTCTTTTATCTCTGCCTTTTATAAGCAGGTTTTTTCTTTCTCGTATCAGGAGATCAATTGGGGCTCGCAAGCTATCACCTGTAGAGCATCCGTCGAAACCGTGCGGTAAGCGGACGCAATTCTTAGAATGATGGAGTTTGCCACGCCATTTAACATAATTTTTCTGGTATTACCCGCCCGGGTAGTGAGGCACGTCCTTAAGGATTTTTGTCCCCCCTACTTCTCCTACCCAACTCCCCGGTATCGCCGTCAGGCATTTCTTCAGGGAGAAGGGCTTGTCCTCTTTGGACATTCCTCCATTCCTTTTCACTACCAGATCATACTCGCTTAGGGGTTCCGAAACACCTTTCCAGCCGCCTCCTGCAGCCGATGTTCATCCCTCCATCACGGAATATGTCCACGTCAAAGGTCTACTGAGATAAGGAGTCTTCATCGCCCCTATCTCTCTCTCTTTCTTTTTCCATCTCTTTTGTTTTGAGAATTTCCTCTGCATATCTTTACACAGTTCTCCAGTACTCGTTATTCTCGAGCATCTTTTCAATCAAATTCTCGGGGGTGAGTGTGACACCCATGAGAACCTCAAGCCGTTGGCGAATGGTCTCCCATCTCGGGCATAATGAGTCGTTAGTTATCTCTATAAGCTCCTCTTCATCTCTTGCAACAACTACAAGTGCCAGATCGTCTGCAAAAGCTGCAATCGAAGTTGGTGGTAGGCACCCTGGAACACAGAAAAGTGTTAAAAAAAATTATCTATAAAAATTTCGAAGTTATGAGGGTTTAAAGTTTACACTTTGACTCTATTTCTGTTGGAAAAATGATTTTCCAAGTTTTTTTGCTATAGGCTTGTTTCGTGCCGTCATGACACCCGTTGCCAAGTTGTCGTCATAATAACCGTTGTCAAGCCGTTACCAAGTTGGAAAATCAAGTGGTTCGTCATCGTCAAGCGTTTGTTGTAACAACGACTGGGCAGCGTCTTTTCGCAAGCTTGTTGTTAGAATCATCTTCGTATTGTTAGAACCATCTTCGTGAATCATCTTCGTATTGTTAGAACCATCTTCGTGGTAAAACGACTGTGTAGCGTCGTTTGGAAGCTTGTTGTTAGAACTATCTTCGTTGTCATCATCCTTCAACTACCATCGACATTCGACTCCCCACCGGGCATAGAAGCCTGACCGTCCCCAGCCTTTAGACTCTCCGCCAGCAACCGGAACCAAGGCACAGTACCGTCCCCATTTGCGTTTAATTTTGGCTTTAATTTCGTGTTGTAATTATTGTTTGTTATCTAATATATTACTTACCACGTGGTCCTTCGTAATTTTGTTCCGACGAATAAGGCCACAAGCCGGCCTATCTATAGGAGCAAACAAGGCTATTAAAAGAGGAAACAAGGAAGCTGTATCCTAAATTGTAACTCTGTTCAATGTTTGTGGCTTTTATCGGCAAAATTTGTCCCTTTACTAAATAATTGTAAAAAAACATATACAAGATCATCAGTATCATTAAATAGATATAAAAAATGTCAACTAAAAAAATAAATGTCAAAATTTTTTGACAGAAAATATTTTTTTTTACATTTTTTTCATGTTCCTGGTATTTTACCTTACTTGATTTCGAAATTTCGAAAACTTATCTTTTTCTGATCTAAAAAATATATATTTGTAACAGAATATTTTTTTTATAACTATACTTAAAAAATGAAATACATATTTTGTTTGATAATAGGTGGACATGGAAAAACTATTTCACTCCAAATGTGTAAATAATAATCAATAAGAGTTTTGTGAACTGTAAAATAGATGAAAAAATGGATAAAATTATAAAAATTAAAAAAATACAAAACGGTAGAAGCATTGAACAAATATGCGAGCGCTTCAGAACAAAATTATTACATATTTTTAAAAAATCCAAAAATAGGAAACACAAATGTGTCAACAGTCAACACAATTAGAAAAAACATTTTTTTGTTGATCTAATGGAGGTAGGATAACGTTCCACATAGACGGAATTTGGGTATTCGAATAGACATATCGTCATTTTTTGTGTCACATAAAATATATTTTATTGAAGAATTAAAGCGGCTTTTTTACAACACTCTATGTATCACTAGAGGTTGCAATGGTAATGTTAGCTTGTTTATAAACAAAGAAATGTTATTAGTCGCCAATAAGTTGATTTACAATTTATTTTGCATTTTTTTTATTACTTAGTACTTTGAAAACTCTTTCATTAGTGACACTGGTTGAATATAATATAGTTTAAATTCTTTTAGTTGAAGATGCAACATTTTTTCATAGCCAACTGCGAACAAAAATCAAAGATAATTTTTTGCTAAAAATGTATTATAATAATTTGTTACAAATATATATTTTTTAGATCAGAAAAAAATAAGCTTTTCGAAATTGCCACAGCCGCCTATGGTTTCCATTTAAAAAAATACAAGTTTATCTTATTACGGCTAAACTAATAACTGAAAAAAATTGTTAACTACATTATTAAATTCCTCGTAAAAAATGTCTTTATTTC